GTGTAGGGTAATCGCCAGTTGCGCTTCAAGTTACGGCGTTTTCTACGCTATTACGGCGTTTTCTACGCCACTATCTTTCGATCAGCTTTTTCTGGAAATTTAACGAGCTGACGCGCTCGGGGGACTACGCTACTCTTTATCTTTTCTTCCTACTTTTCTTCTTCTTTTCTTTATTCCCTTGTTTGGTTTGGCTTTCATGCTTTGCATAGCCACTGTGATGCTTGAGATCACATCTCCACTGCGTTTTAGCAGCACATGTTCTTGGCCTAAGGGCTCGCGATCCAACAGGGAGATACATACCGCCAGGGATAAGGCCAGCCTGGGTTTAGTTGGACATGGGTCACAGAAGAAGAAATGGGCCTGGCCCACTGATGTTGATCAGGTCCAGATAATATGGGATATAGGGTTTTTCAAGACAATGTTTTTTTGCTAGCCATATGTGTGACTTTTTCATGGTAGGAGGCCACGGCAGAAAGGATTTTACGACCTCTATTCTACTATTCTTTTTATGAGCATAAGTTTTTTTTTTTTGGACAGTATAAGGTTAGGAACTTAGGAATGGGGTGCTGGACCTGGTTTCCATCCGTTTCTTCTTCTTCTGTTCATCAGCCTACTCTGGGTAATGGGCCCAGGATTTCCGGGTCGAATTGTGAGGTCCCCGGCCTCTTTCCTATGATTTTAATGCAAAGACTTATGTTTTCCAAAAAAAAAAAAAAAAAAAAAAAACCATGGCCAGATGCACCCACCACATTTTTGTTGTCTTTTTCGCATTTCGAGAGTGGTGTGGCCATGCCGCATCTCAAGGGCAGAGGAGAGGATAGGACGGTCCTCCTCATAGATGCATGTTAAAAAAAAAAAACAGAAAAAAAGGACAAGAAGCGAACAGGAAAAAAAGGACAGGATAGGACCGCTTCAGCATGGCCACTGAAAAAAGTGACTGCGGGGATCGCCACACCAATGTCGAAAACTGAATTTTCGACATTTTCTCCTCGCCAGTGCCGCCACACAGCATGTCGAAGTCCGAGATGCAAAAAAAATTCAGGAGCTGTCAGGGAAAGGGTTTCTACACCTCCTCTCTCTCGAGAAGGGCTCGTTTCCACTTGAGGCCTGCAACTTGCACATTTTCAACAGTCCTCGGATGGGATGTCGAATTCTTGCCCGAATGTCGAAAAAGAGAACGCACCAACGCTTGTCCTATCTTCACCCCAGTTTGTCTCTTTTGTGCACAGGACTTGTGAGTTCTTCACTTCGACATGCTGTGTGGCGAAGAGGGGTTTTCTGTCGAAAGAGGGAATGTCGAAAATCTCCTGACATATGTCGAATTTCGTGATGTTTGGCCCTGAATGGACCCCCACAACGCGGTCTCTCAAGGGAAGGACAGGATAGGACAGGCGCTCCTTGTAGATGTTTCGTGAGGGGAAACTACGTGGGAGTAACAAAAATGAGTTATAATTGCACTATGGGCCAAGATACAGTTTCAAATTGCAATTCGGGCAACTGAATGTATACAACCCAGCTTTCTGGTCAGGTAGGGTGCTGGAAGTGCAATTATTGCAAACTGTATTTTGGCCCATAGTGCAATTATAACTCGTTTTGGTGACTCTACTAAGTTACCCCAAAAAACAAACAAAAAGAAGGACACACTTGAAAGGCTAGTGCGGCCACTGAAAGGAGCCCCACAACGCCATTAAAGTAGGGCCTTGCTCCGCTACACAACACCCTGCATGCATTTGGTCCACCTCTGGACCAGGCGCACTCGGGCGACTCGGACGAGTGCAACATTTCGAATGTGTCAGTGCCAGAACACATCCAGATGCATGGAGGGTACCGCGTAGTGGGGCGAGGCCCATCATCTCATGGGCAGGACAGAATGGGACGGGGCTTCTCGGAAGAAAACAAAAATAGAAATAAAGGACAGGATAGGGTGATTGATGAGGGTCGAGGTCGAGG